CAAGACATGAACTGGTCTGCTTGCAAAGCTGAAAATTCATATTACATGCTGTCATCAAGGCAGTTTGGAACAAAGAGCATCCCTCCCCTACATTTTTTTGCCCACGAAATTCTACAGAAGCTATGGGCAGGCACTGAAATTTCAGTGGAGTTGCGCTGTGGTAAAATTGGAGGAACCCAATGATAAATCAAACCCCCATCTCCAGAGTTGGTGCTTCTTGGAAAGTTGAAAAGCATTGTACAAGATATGCAGAACATTATAAAGCTATATTCCCGCCTTCCAGTAAAACACCACTTTTAGTGCTGTAATAACCCATCACACTAAGTACAAGGAAAAATGTGTATATAAATGATCTTATATTATGTAAATCAAATTTTCATTTCGCCGCCTGTAACTAAAATATATAAATACACTCACTTATAGGGTTGGCTGAAAAAAAATTCATTTAGCAAAATATTTAGCAAGTTCAAAATTTATTTTTGTTCTGCACTGGTATAAAAAGAACATCCCCTTTTTTTTGAGGGGGGGGGGGGGCTCTCTACATTCAAGTCCGTCCTGTGTTTCTTTCTCAATCAATGATTTTGACCAGAAATTCCACCTTGGACCTAAGAAACCTTCCCAAAGACAGCTTCACTGACATTTCAGTTTTGACAAACTGGCATTTTCTGATGAAAAAACATTTTGTCCAAAAGTTCCCAACTAGCTCTACTCACTTCTAATAATGTATTATTAAAAAGATTAACAGGGCAGAAATAAAATGTATCTAGGTTTGTTTGGGCAATTTATGTAATGGTATGTACAACAGTGGTTTGAGCATTAGCCTGCTAAACACAGTGTTGTGAGTTCAATCCCTGAGGGGGCCACTTAGGGATCTGGGCAAAATCAGTACTTGCTCCTGCTAGTGAAGGCAGGGGGCTGGACTCGATGACCTTTTTGGGTCCTTTCCAGTTCTATGAGATAGGTATATCTCCATATATATATTTTGAATACATAAGGAACTAGGGTAAAGAGTGGAATCCCCTTAATTCCTGATTGTCTTTAATTTTGGTGATGGTGTTGATGGAAAATATACTTTACCATGATAACCTAAGGTACCCAAGAGTTTTGTTTGGGTATTTGTGTGTGTGTGTGTCTCCCTTTATTTCTCTCTCCCCTTCTCCCGCCAGTAATGCTTTCAAAGATCTTTCCTTTGGTGCAGACCTCTCAGGTTCTTGGTGCTGGCTAGGGCTTCCAGGCAAGATTAGGGTGACAGGGGGACACTGAGTGCTGGTTGGCTGAAGCCTAATGAGAGGGAGTTATCTAGGGTATGATGAGCCAGAGAGAGACTGGCTGGGGATCAGGGTCTAGTTTATAGCTTCCCTTAGCAAAATAAAGAAACACTTATTATGAATAATGCTAATATCTCTATCATTATTAAAAGTAGCCTGTATCTCAGAGCCTATGTATAAGATTTTTTCAACCCAATCTGTTAAACCAAACCATTTGTTAATTAAAGGGATGGGAGGGTTGTGGGAGTGGGCAAAGCTAGACTTAAGTTTTGAGGGAGTCCGTTTAAACTGCTAAGGTCTAAACTACTGACAGATTTACTTGTATCTTCCAAAAAAGAATTTGGTGATGATAAACATAATTTGTGTACATAATAAAAGGAATTTAATCATCATAATAGCAAACCATAATATCCTTAACAATGAAACTATTTACCAGTTTCTACATAATATAGTAAATCTCAACAGAACTGACTCTTTTTAGTTTAATATTTTTATAAGAGAGAATCTATGGGGTGAAATTCAGACTCCACTGAAGTCAATAGTCTTTTTGCTATAGAGCTCAGTGGGGCCAGGATTTCACCCATGTTAATAATATAGAGGGGTACTTATAACTGTAATTATAGATTATATAATAGGAAAAAAATAATTTAATTCTATTCAACAGTGCAGCATATTGAAAAAGCGATTAATAACTGGATTCAGTATCCTACCATATTAGCAAGGATTAGACCGGGGTAGGCAACCTTTCAGAAGTGGTGTGCCAGTCTTCATTTATTCACTTTAATTTAAGGTTTCGCATGCTGGTAATACATGTTAACGTTTTTTAGAAGGTCTCTCTATATATACAACAATAGTTTAGTTATATAATATAGACTTATAAAGTAAACAAGATTTTCAAAATGTTTAAGAAGCTTCATTTAAAATTAAATTAAAATGTTGATCTTACACCGCCAGCCTGCTCAGCTCGCTGCCAGCCTGGGGTTCTGTTCACGTAGGCTGGCAGCGGGCTGAGCGGGGCCTGTGGCTGGGACGCCGGCTGGCAAGGGGCCGGCAGCAGGGACTCCAGACCTGGGGGGAGGTTCAGAGGTCAGGGCAGAGGGTGCAGGGCAGAAGGCTGGGTGTGTGGGGGAGTGGTTCAGAGGTCAGGGCAGAGGGATGTGGGAGGGGGGGGGGGGGGGGG